TACTATGAGACCCTGCCAGAATGTACTGCGGTGAACACAGGAGTACTCTGTTCACAAATCAGAGAGACTGTTTTATAGGCCCCATTTCACGCTGATTACAAGAGAATTTTCGATTGTGATTAAAAATGCTCGGTCACTTCATGCGCGGACGACGATGGAGGGAAGGCCCGGTGTAACTTGACGACCCCATTCCCTACATATTCCCTTATCCCAACCCATATGACTGCCATCCCTTCAAAAGCTCACAGGCTGCTCAAAAGAGAAGAAATGTAGATAAATGGATTGCGTCGCGCCTCTCTTTTTGTTAGAGGAATGGCAGCATGGCCCTTTCCGCTTGATGGAGGGGCAATGTGGCTAAGAAGAGTCACTATTTTGATCGCTGATCTAACTTTATTGTTGTAATTATTTTGTGTCGAAGAGTCCGACTGAATTTTCTCAAAACCCTCCAGACGCTAGTATTTATAAATTTAGCAATTAGAACTGCCAACTGATTCTATCAAAAAGGTTGTGCGCGCTCAATTTTGCTTGCTCAAAGCATAGCAGATAGTGGCAACTGAAATGCGCAGTTGCCCGCAACGACTGCAAAGGTTGCCGTGGCGCAGTGGATGTACTCCTCCTCTTCATGGCTAACGATGTAGGCTTGCTCCCTGCCGTCGTGCCAGTTTTTGCGGACATGCTTTCTTCGAATAGAAGCTCCTGATCCTTGCAGCTGTTGAGGGCGACTGCACACTTTAATTGACACTATCTTTTAATGCTCTGAGCAACCAAACTTTGAGCGCTCACCAATTTTTTTTCGGTAGACTCATTTACAACTTTCGATTTATGAATTTATAAATAGCGTTCCAAGCTCTATCGAAGGTCTCTATTCAAAGTACAGTGGGATGTTGGAACCATCTCCAGGTCAGATCCTTATATCAAGTCCACGGAACGATTGCGGATACAAAATTACGGATGCTCTTCTCGTATGAAGTGTAGAACTTTATCGATGCGTAGAGCGGAATTAGCGCAGCGAGTCCAGCTTGTTGTGGAGCGATAGGACATCTGATGTGGTAGCGCATTCACAGGCGTGACGTAAAGATTATAATTCCCAAAATGCATAGAATCGGTTTGCGTTTTCATAAAAGACTTGCTAAACGCTTGCAGAACAGCATGCTTTCATTTGACTATATGCACTATATGCAGTCGAGGCCCAAAAAAGCATCGGAGACGGTTCCTGAGAAGGAACATTGCCATGTTTTTTCCGATTCCTAGAGGGATTCTCTTTCAATTCAGTGTAGGCTAATGCTTAAAATTGAGTTCCTCAACTTTGGGTAGCTCCTTTCACTTGCTTCTTGCGACATGCCATGGAAAATTCTTGGCTAGAACGATACCATTTCATATAGAATACGTCGCTCTTGTGCTCGTTTCGTAGGCAGTTCATTCAAAGTGCCGCGATCTGACAACCCAATTTTTCTCTTTTCGTCGGAAGGAACAAAAGCATCAAGCTGTATTACGCTCATACTATTTGATATTATTTGCTGAACTTGCGCAACCGCCAGCGAAGATCAAGGACATTTAACCTTTCTGTTCTACAGATGATAACGGCGACATTCCCAGATGGACCCTATTAACCTTTTGGAATAATAGAACAATGATTTTTGAAAAAAAAAGAAAAGGTATCTGAGTTTTATAATTTCGCCCGCGAGGACCAGGTTTAATAGTACAGCTGAGGAAGCTACCGTCTTTAACTTCCGATGGCTGAGAAAACTCACACACTTTCATGTATTCTCACACACAATCATATGATAGGGGAAATGAATTTATTGCATTGTGGGAATCATTCATCCTCTCAAGGCGCCTGCAGGCAAACTAGTTAACGGAGAGCAACCTTTCACTCATTTCTTGGAACCTTGTATCGCTTTCTTTGGGGTAACGTGAGATTATGTAAACATTTGTATGAAAGTTTTACATATCTCCAGTGTACGGTGCTTGCCATCGGATGAGCGCAAAGTCTCATTTGTATTACTCTGAAATCGACCACAGCGCCTTTTCAGGCTTCAATCAAGATTAGCTGCTCCTGTTGCTCCTTTTTATTCCTACAGATCCTTGCATGTAGCTGGTCTACAGAATACACTGTACCACCACTATTTAATGTACCTTCACCTTTTTCACAACTTGCACATTCCTTTTCTGTTTCCTCGAGTACTGAAGCTCCGAACCCCTTTCATTTATCCTCAACACCCTAAAGCACACTGGAGCTCTGTATACTAAAACACTCCGTTTCCAGATACTCTAGGGTTGGCTACAGCTACCTCAAATCCGGAGCACACCGGAGCATAAACATATACTGGCGAAGGGCAGGTAAGCAAGAGAGGGAACCATCACGTTCTAATTGGCATATATATAATAGTGCACAGCATATAGCATATAATAGAGCAAAACTGAAAAAGATGCTCAGATACGTCACTGATAAAGGTACATAATTATCATGTAGTGCGATGGTCTTGAATTCATACATATCTTGCCCTTACTACATATTATTTCACAATGTGCAATAATAATAATGGCAACATTAATAGCAACAGTAACAGTAAATTTTCCAATTCATAAAATCAATATTAATTCACTGAGATCGCCACAGAGGTCGGCAGCCAATCAATTAAGAGAGGTCACCCCACAGGCGAGTGAGCGAAGGTGCGAAGGTGTGAAGTAAGTAGATTTGGACGTGAATACTGCATCCTCCATAACATAACAGATGCGCAATTGTTTCTTACTGCCCTAAACGACTCGAAGTTTTTTTCAGTTTGAGGCCATCTCATACGATTTAGAAGGAATGCCTCTGTAACTTTGTTCTAATAATCGATTTGCAGATTCAGAATGTGGATTTTCAATCGACGTTCGAATTCATGTAAGGCGGTATACATCTCATTATAAGAAATCTTAGCAACCTAGCATACTTTTCATGTCAAAGGGAACTGAAAATTTCTATTAATTTGTGATGTTTGGTGACATAACAAGAATCACAACCTCTTCACATGACTAGCATAATATGCTGAGCGAGGAATAATTGCTAGACTTCACTGCATTCACTGCGTGCCGAAGTATTTCCACAAAACACAGGGGAGGAAAAAACGTGCATTTCGATCAAAGGAGATCAACGAATGTTCTGCAAAATCCACATAGGTCATATAAGTTGGACAGCATCTTTTTTGAAGCTGCCAATTTTGCAGCGCACAGAAAGGGTAGTCGGAAAACAATCATAGGAAAGCCTACAGTTGGAGGCATTGCTGAGCAACAGAAATATTGCAAATGCGTCAAAAGTGGAACAATACTGCCCGATGACATATCGAAACCGCACAGCTGAGAATCCGGGCAGCTAGAGTTTCTCTATTCCAGATGTAAGCATAAGAAGTTTTTGAAAAACTTGAGAGTTTCATAGGAAAAGATGAGGAAAGAGGAAAAGTGACGCCTAGAGCGCAGAGAAGGAAAAGTAGCCGACCTTTTGAAGTGTGAGTATGAGGGCTTGAATCTTTCGTACTTCTTCATGAATGGAACCACTTGCGTGTATAGGGGGAAGTCCGAGCACTGTCCTTCCAAAGCGCGTTCAGTAACGCTAACAGCATGCTCATCCTGCTTTTGTAGAGTCCAAGTCTCCGAGGCGTACGTCAAAGCAAGAAGGGCAGTAGTGTCGAAAAGGTGAGAGCGGAGCCAGATGTTTTTTTGTCTTCTTCCCCGCTCCCTCGATATTCTTGGATGCTCCCCACGCGGCGCGTTGCCTTCTGCACAGCTCCGAGCTAAGTCGTTCATCATGTTGACTCCCCGACCTAGGTACCCGACATTCGGAAATAAATTCGGAATTCAGAAATATGAAGCATTCGGAAATACTTCTTACGTTTAGCAGCATCAGGTACCAATCCGTTTATCATGAACATCGTCTTCGTTAAATTCATTCTCAAGCCGGTCTTTCCACAAGCACTGTCGAACTCGGCCAGCATTCGTTCCGCCTGCTCGATGTCGTCAGTTATAAGCACGATGTCGTCAGCAAAGCGTTTGCAGTTGTAGACAGCGGCCGTCGACCATCACTCCCGAGTCTTCCCATTCCAAATGACGCGTGATGTTCTCGAGAGGGCACTGAAAAGTTTGGGCGAAATGTTACCGCTCTGCAGGACACCTCTCTTCATGTTTATAATGACTTCCTTGTAGAATGGAGTAATCGTGGTCGTTAAATTGCCAATATCGTCTGATTCCCTTTTTATACAGCAACATAGTCGTGCTAGTTTTCACAACGTGGGCAGGTAAAGCGTGAAGAGCCTAGACAGAGTTCTGACGACAACTGGTGGAAAACTTTTTAGACGTTCTGCTCTGACCCTGTCGGGACCAGATGCTGTACCATTCCTCATCGACGTGATGGCATGTCGGATTTTGGAAGGGAGAACTGAAAAGACGACGTATCCGTCTCGCCTGAGATGGTAGGTAGGCAAGTAGACGTGACTGTCGAAGAGATCAGAATAGAAGTCGTAGCTGACCTTCTCCATTGCCCTTCGAGATGCAGCAACTGTTCGTCAGGACGACAAGGGAACTCAACTTGGTCTTATAATTGTCGCAGCTCCGTCGGGCTTTGCGAATGCTGACTGTGGTGAGGATGTTCGACGAGCCGGTTATATTCTTCATCGATGTTGTCGATAATGGGACCTTCCCATTCAGTAGCAAGGGGAACGAAGTGGTCCCAGTTGATGGAGGTCATAGACTTCGTTTCCTGCACTTGATAGCTCTCTCTCCTCGCATTGATAAGCAGAATCTAGCGCGGAGGAGATCATGGCTCGATCCCGTGTAGAACTTCGGAACAACAGCTACGTCAGTCAGGCAAACTCTCCGATTGAAGATGACGCGGTCTATTTCATCATGGAACTGTCCGCCAGGTGACTCCCATCTCCATCGCAGATGAGATGGCTCCTGGAAATGTGAACTCCTCAGCCATTTCTCTGGGACGAATCTTGGCGCTGAAATCACTGATGATGACCCTAAAGAAAGTATGGTCTTCTCTGTAGAGCCACTCCAGATCCATGTAGAACGCTTCCAACCCCTCTTATTCGTAACTTGATGTTGGTGCGTAGGCAACGAAGATGGTTAGAGCTGCCAAATCTTCTCAATTGCAAACGACCGATTCGAGCTGTCAAGCTTTCGTAAGAATCGATGTTCATGGCAGAGTGCGTATTGACAAGCACACCTATGCCGCCGACGCCTCTGTTCTCGCATGTTCCAAGGAACAGTTCTTCTCCAATTCCAAATACAGCGTGCACGAGTAACGCCTTCTCGTCTCGGTCAGCCCCAATGACGTCGTACTCAATGTTCCTTGCCTGCATCATCAGGTTGTTACGGACGTGACCAGAGCATGAGGAAAACATAGGCGCAGTTCCCATGCATTTCAGCTCAGATCCGCAGCCATGATAACCCGAGCATGCATGCCAGTCAGTATAAAAATGGGCATATTCGACTTTTTCTCCTTAACTATCAAGAACCTTTTATCATTTCTTTCTATTATTCTAAAGCATCGCACGTGTTCTGTTGATTTTAACTAATGGAGCATCTCGTCTGTTCCTTCAGCATTTAGAACATCAATTTGAGCATTTAGTCACATTTAGTACATTAGAGCATTTGTCACTTAGCCTTTTTTTTACTATTATGCTCAACAGCATTGTTCTTTGATTCGTTTATACTCATTGCTTCAACTCACTTATGCTCTCAGTATGTGTCGAGCATCAATGGACATTGACCAAAGTCCATCAAAGCAAGCGGTGAATCTTCGAAAATTGCACATGCACTAACGCTTTTACTAGCAGAAAGTGTGTATTGGTGCATTGAGTCATACTATCAGAGCATTGAGAGCATACCCTAGCATCGACCCGCGCATCCTCCCCGACTCCTATCTCAACTAACGATCAAAACAAGCTTCTGTACAGAATTGTCGGTTCAGATGGCAACTTCACTGAGAGAGAGAAAAGGGGTTTCGTCGAAACATCTCAATGTATTAGTGCAGAGCATATCAGTGTACTCTACATTGGGAAACACCATAAATTTGGAGGATGACGAAGCAGTAGGGTTACTCTGTCCGAAATTCAAACGGCTGAAGAAGACGTTAAAGCACTTCGGAATAATTTCGAAAAAGCCCTTTTGGATTCGCGGAGGCGGCAGATAAATTCGCAAAACCGCCAACAATGGAGGAAGAGGAAAAAATTTTAGAGTATATCAGTAGTACAGAGCATACAATCTAAAGAGATTACTAAAAGTCGTATTGTGCATCATAGTTTCGAAGGCTTTAGTACAAACCAGCACACCGCTGGCGGAAGCAACACCGAGAATAGAGTCTCCCAAAATCCATTTACCATAGTTCAGCGGAAAAAGCTGGCAATGGGAGTTTCGGAGTTATTCAACGCCACTGCCCATTCCCTTCAAATTTCTGATATTCAAAAGTATAATCATCTTTTGAGAGCATTAAAGGTGAAGCACGCGAGTCTGAAGCTCGATTCCAAGTATCTCGTCCAATTATAATCTCGCATTCCCACACCCCGAGGAAAGATATAGGGATGTTCGACATATAGTCGCTGGGTTACATCGGCAACTAGAGCAATGGAGCGCAGAGGGTGCGCAACTTGAGGACCAGCGCAAGCTCCATGATCGGCTATCTGCCAACACAGCTCAGCTTCTGAGCAAAATCGAATCCCTTGATATCCCGTGGCCTCTGTCGAAAAATCTTCCGAGATATACAGAGGTCTTCGAAGGGACACCCTTCAAGAGGAAGTTTCATTAACTAATGAAGATGGGACACTAACCAACTCATGGCCCCACTCGATTGAGTCATACAACAGGAGGAGGAGATTGAAAAGCAGATGCCGAAAAGGCGAAAGCAAGAAGCGTAAAACCACAACCACAAGGACAAATTCGAAGTCCATTCTGCTTCTATTGTGATAGTAGGGAGTATTGGTCAACAGCCAAAATAGCTTCCTCAAAAGCACTTTCAGAGCATTTGAAGTACATCAACCGTTGCATTTGGTTGTGGCTCGAAAATGCATGGATTTTTTCGAATGCAAAAGCAAAAGATGCATCCAGTGTGGCAAAAAACACCACACCTCGAGATGCTTCAAATCCAGCCTTCCTACCTCGTCCGCACAGGTGTCCAATACATATCGAAAGAAGGAGTTGAAATAAAAACCAGCACACGCTCGGCAAAATCTTGTACTCTGCGAAGAAACACAGGAACCCAACCGACTTCGGACCTTATTGTGACAAGAGTTCAAAATATATCTAACAAGGAAGGGCCTTCAAGGCGTGGGACGGACGGACGGTTTTCGAAAATAGTTTTTTGCATGATTTAGGGGCATGAGCTTCAAAACTATGGTCCATTTCCGCTAAATGGCCTTCTAAATGCTAAAAAGAGTGAAAATGATTTTTTCAGAAATCGACTGTCTGCACAGTAGAAGGCGCCAGTGGACTGCGCATTGGAAATAACACGGTGGCCAAAAACGGGAGCCACATGTTGAAATATGTTGAAAAGTGATAGCGATGTGGACTTCGAGCTGGGACGGCTAGGCTGGGTAGTGGTTCGGATACTCGCGGCGCTTACGTTTTTGGCATTTTAGGCTGCCACCTCCAAATTGGCACCATATTGCACCAGGGCCAAAGCAAGTGCCTGACTGATCATGGTCGTGACCAGGACCAGCGATAACCTCTGCAAGTTGAATTTTGTGGGAGCATTTTTTGTGAGAGGTGTTGCAGGCCAATTTCGGTACACGGTGAGGCGTTTATTTGCTGCTCTATCGGTGAAGAAAGGCCCGTTCTAGTTGCCGTCTAGTATATACTATCCATTGGATTCACTGAACTTGGGTCCTGTTGAGCATTGAAGGCATAGTTCGAGATAATTTCATATACCTTTCATGGAGGGGCGAAACTTTTGATGCAGAATAGTTCATTGCTCGCATCAAATGAAAACCAAAGCAATCCCAAAACTTACCTTTTTTGAACTAATAATAGGAATGGGTAGAGGTAGAAACATCAAGAAGTCAGAAAATGACCTGGAAAGTCCTCTGGATGGAAAACAATGGGAAGGGATCAAGGGACTGGATGTTAGAAACCCGCCTTTAGCGTTCGCATAAGCTTCAGAGGACGGTTCTCGCACATGTGTTCTGATAACACTCTTGACGCTACCCTCAACCGTAGCGGTCGTAGTAACTCAATCTGTCTCGAACTGATTAGAATCGTTTCTTATCTGTCGTTATTGAGAAAGCGACCTGATATAGTCGCAGATTGGTAAACAAACGAAGATATGAAGCTTCTACGCGTCAGCGATCTCTGACCGATCACCGAAGAAAACTGAGGAAAATTAGCATGACTGATCGATCGTTTACTTTGTTAGCAATCGGTCCTACTCAGTGGCTCCTTCATTTTTATGTCTCCTTCATTACTACCATTGAATGAAAGGTGCTGACATACGAATGAGTGGCAGTTGAACAAATAGACCCTAGAAGTGGCCTTCTTCAAAACTGAAGTTTTGAGTGTTGTATCGGGGCCGTATTTCAGGCTAGAACAACCCTCTTATACTCGCTGAATACATCTATACTTTGATCTGATGTAGAGTATGTGGCAGGTCCCTTCACGGCGCTTCTCAACTGAGATTGTGTGTGATTCCATTCGTTCTAGGACTAAAGTAAAACTGCAGGGAAAGTTCAACGGGTTAGTGGATGAACAGCGAAGTCGCGAACCAGGCACGCAAGTTGCGTGTGAAACCTTCGGGAGTAGCCCTACAGCTGGTGGATGTGGGGATAATAGGGACAGCCCAAGGGTCACGGTGCTTGGCAATATCTGTTTGTCCAACGATGCGCTATCTGCTTTGGATTTGGGACCCAGCTTTTCCCCTAGCCGTCCGCTTAACAACATCATATCACGCAAAATTGTGGGCAATCTGCAATCATTGCATGATCGCTTGCGGTATAGGGCAAAAGTCAGCAGACAACTCGGGGGTTGTAGTAATGTGAGCAGCTCTGGTATACCGCCTCCACCCTTCCCCTCTACGTATCTCGGGTCACAAGAGCCTGATCATGAGGTAGATTCCAAGTTCCGAATTTTTTCGGACTCGCTGTTCGCCATTCTGCGTTCTAATATCGCAAAACCGACTACAAGGAATCTGACCCTGGCTCAAAGAAGGGGTTTAAGGGAGCTAAAACAACTTTCAGATGCTGGAGCTATCAAGATCAGTGTGAGCGACAAAGGAGGAGAATTTGTAGTTTTGTCGCAGGATATGGAAAGAACGATCACTCGTTCACACTTACAGGACAGGTCCGTTTACCAACCTGCAACATCAGAGGAATTCACCAAACAGTACCGCCGCCTGTATAGGAAGTGGACAGAAGTGGCACGAGCTGCCAGCCTTCCTAAAAACATCATAATGCGGCTAAAAAGTGAACTTCCTATCTGTCCGGTCCTGTATGTGCTCATAAAAACCCATAAAATTCCCCCGGGAGCTGCAACCTTGGATGACCCGTCTTATTTCAAGGTTAGACCTATTGTTAGTAATGTCGGTGGCCCAACGGATAGAATCTCTTGGTTTCTAAATGCTTTCCAACACCAACGCGCTGCTAATGAAACTTCGTGATGCTAGGTTAGAAGGAGAAAGCGTGATGGAGTCCTTTGACGTCACCTCGTTATACACTAATGTGTCGAATGACTGTGCTATGCAAGCAATAAGTGAAATTCTCAGCGAACATGAAAACTCTGTTAATCTATATGGCCTTTCAATACCCCAGGTCATGACACTCCTCGGCGAGTGCCTTTCGTGCAACGTATTTAAATGGTCGGGCGAGTATTACCAGCAGATTAGAGGACTAGCGATGGGGCAAAGGCTTGCTCCAGTACTCGCAGTGTCATTCATGTCGAAAATTGAACAACCTGTCTTAGAGCGTAGACCCATCTTATACTGTCGGTATATAGACGATTGNGGGTTTTGACCTACGCTGTCGATCCCCCGCGGGGTCCTCTCGGCGGAGCGGGGTCGGGGGCTTATACAGTAATCGATAGGAGTTGATTGGGAAGGGGTCAGCGGCGCGCTCAGCCTTGTGTGGCTTTTTGAGGGAGTTTGATCTACGTGATCAGCCTCTTGGAGGCCCCTGAAGCAAGTTGACCCGGGGCTCACCCCTATTTAAACCGCAGCCACACCAGCTTAGGGTGATCGGTGGACCCCCAAAGGTCGACTGTTCCAAAGGTTAGTTACCAACTTCCGACTTCCTAGTAGCCCACGCCCTTTGAACTTTCTTTGTAGATTGAAATAGTGCTTGATAGGATGGTTTTTCAAATGCCTTTTGTCTTTCCAGGCTCCGAGGAAGGTGAAAGCACCGAAACGTCAGCCTAATAAAGCTTGTTAATATCTCGG